TTTTTTTTTTAAACAAAGAATTAACACATGTTAGACTGCACCCCATAAACACAATCAAGCCTAGAAAAAAACAGTGAACCACCCCTTTAAACATAATGATAAACTAATAAATAAAAGTAAGTATAAGTAAATAAAAATTAAATTTAGCATTGAGATTTTTTCTTCAGAATCAAAATTTAAGTGTGTATTTTAAATGCTGTAACTGGTCACCATTTCTTTCACCATTGTAAATCAACATTATTTTAATATGTTAAAATACCTTCTGCTACAAAAATGTAACATGCAAGAGAAATGTAAGCCATTAATAGTTGGATTTGAAAATTAACAGCCTGTTTGAAAAATATTTTCATTATTTTTGCAATTCAATTTTGTGTTGCTAGTGGCACAGAAATCAAACACTTTATCTTTAAATAAACCCGTGGTCTGACAAATCACTTCTAATACCATAAAAACGGCAAAAACAGGCCTAATACTTATAAAAGAATTCAAACAAAATTAGTTTTAGATAGAATGTAGATGGAATGCTACTTGCAAAAACGAACTATTTGACATTATCTGTCAAATTTCTGTTTCCAAAATGAACTACAACTGAATTAAAGAACATATATGCTTTCGATGCACAAGAAAACAGAATGCAAAATGTAGTTTCTGAAAATACTCACCTCTTCATAGTCCCTGGACATTATTGGTCCGAATTCCGTCTTTGAAGGAGTGCTCCATTTTACTTGCTTATTCAAAAAATGTGCAGTACAACCTGAGAATGCTTCACTGCAGATGTGTCTTAAGAAAAAGTGTGACTAATATCAGGCCATTATAGTCTGAGACTATGAGCAATGCAGTCTGTTCTGTTTCTGTTCAACAAAATATTGTGAATTACGTCTAAATCAAAAGTCAAGGCCTATTGCAGTTTATCCTCATTATACAAAACCAGCTTTCAGTCTTCGGTAGTCCAGGATTTCTATGCAAAGAGAAACACACACGCAAATGTATTTATTTATATGAAAAAGCCATATATCATTTGCAGATTGAAAAGCAAGAACAAGCCACCTATGATGAGACAAGCTCTGTATGCAGAATCTGCACCCACACTTGAGTTGACATTGGTCCTCATTACATCACAGGACGCTTAAAGCCCCTGCAATTCATGCTTTATACTCAGAATAAAGCAACAGAAATTATGCATCGAAGCATCTGTATAAAAAAGCATGCATACGTGCAAAAAAAAAAAAGATACAGAAAAATATGCACAGCTAAGGATGAGGCAGCTCACAGGCGTCATGGCAACAGGGATGTGATGATGGCTGAATTTTAATGACACCCAACCTAAGACATGCCTGCATTTATTCTCATTTCCAATAGAAATATAATTTTTTTCCCCATGCGTTTCTCTTAGGCTTAACAATATATATAAAATTTCTTTTAAAACATAATCTCACTGTTAAACTACTATACAATCAATATAAAAATATCCATATAGGGCTGTGGAATCATAACTAGCTCACTTTCACACATCTGCTTATATAAGAATTGTGGCAGGTAATTAAACTGGATGCAGTTTAGAATAAATCCATCAACTATGGTTGCCACCTACACTCGTGATATAATTACACAACCATCCAGTATACAACATTGACTATTACTGTGACATTTCAAAGAAATAAAATGAGAACAACGTGAGCCAACAAGAAAACAATTAATTCGAGAAATAAAATTAAAATTCTGCATTCATTTCTATCAGCAAACTCACCTCTATCAACTCGCTCTCAATGCGTCTAAATGGTAGCCAGATGCTCATGGCAGATTTCACCCCACAGAACATTAAAGTCAATGCAGCGGGATGCTGTGCATTGGCGCAAAATAATCCCTGAATGAGGGATTCTTCGGCGTGCGAAGGCAACCCGCGCTCTGACGGAATGGTGTTGTGGATCACATGACTGCCAACCCTAGCTAGATAGTACAACAAATGCGGTTTACAGGCAAACTGCACTGATATAAATCACCAGTCTTCACTTTTATTTTGCCATACGTATTAAGATGCAAGAAACTGAATAATACAAAGGTTCACAGAGAAAAGAAAGCACACGTTTTAAAGACTGTACTAGTAAAGCAAGTTACTAAAATAATATATGATTCAAAACGTTCAAGTTGGTTTGATCATTTTTACCAGCATTTCTCTCTTCGCCATTGTTTTGTCATCCATTATCTATGCACAGTCAGCTTGTAACACTCCAAAGAGAAATGAAAACGCAAAATATTGAAATTGAAATCGCATCATATGACCCCTTTAATAAAAAAAAAAATCTGAAATGCTGAAATCACATTATTAAGGCATTGTGTAAACGCACAACAACGATAGCCTAAGTATAATAACAGTTTGTTTTAATAATGTTA